ATATATATATATATATATATATATATATATATATATATACCGTATATACCAGCACGCACACACCTGTTAATGTGAGACACACGTGATTTGTGAAGTCTGTATTTTCTTTAACTATTGCTTAATATGGACAAACTCATTACATTAGTAAATTAGGTAGCCCTCCTTCAATGGTTATGGTGACGTTCGCGTGAACCATTCCATACTCCTGAAACCGTTACCATCTGTGGATGCTGATGGTTAACGTTGGCCTCCCATCGTTTGGGTAGTCATCCAAGAGAACACTTGCATTCTTTTGCAATGTACTCCACTGTTCTGTTGCTCATTTGTCACCTGATGGTCTTATTATGCAACTGGCATATTTGTTTTTCGCATTCAATGTATGTTGAACTGGATCCCGAAGATGAGATAGGTTTTAAATATCTGAGCTGCAAATTCTGCCTAAGCGTTGTGAGCTCCGGTCAAATTTTAGAACAAACCGTCAAAGCGTTCTGTAGGTGGTGTGCACAGTTCTTGACGTAGTTGAAGTATCAGCCCATGAGCAGGGTGTTAAGCTGAACTGGTGATCGCGGAGTTTTTGCCTTTTGAGTTTTTGGTCGGTGGGTTCCTGGAGAGGCTTGAGTACGCCTCATTTTGCTCTCATTCTGTTTAATTCCTACACCTCCATATTCACAGAAAGTCCATGGTACACGTGAGAGGTGGTCTCTATAATCAGAGAGCCATCCAGTTAGCACCATGGGTTCTTCATGAACTGGGTCTTCTTCCAACTTACACGCAATCTAATCCTTCTTTCCCAGTCCGCGAGCTCTTTTGGCATCGTCTATGCTCCAGTGGTACTCCTTCAAAAGATAACGATGGGCGCAAAAAAAAATTGATAAGAATTCTCCATCAATACGTATGCCCTCTCTTCCCAAAAAATGAATTCCCATGGAACAGACGTGCTGCGTACAATGGTCTTACAGGACGGCTTCCACTTGCACTTCGTTCTCCTATTCCAAATTTCCCTATCCTGTATTACTTTTCGTTAGACGCTCCTAATCTGGCGTTGAAGTCTCCAACAACAAATTTGCAGATACTTTCAGAGTAACAGTTAATGATACAGCCTTTATTATGACGGGCAATCGGAAATTTCGATCAACGAATTACGAGGGTTTCGTCATCCAATTGGTCTCTCTTCCCGTCTTCCTAATTTTCTTCTCTTCTAGGGCAATCACATGGAATTTGATGCGACCGACACCCTCAGAAAGAGTGTAGAGGTCGGCATTTGAAAAGACTGTTCTGGCGTCATAGGTGTCACATTAAGAAGCAGTCTACATACCGTGTCATAAGAATGCTTGTTTTGTCCGTTTCCATTGACATCCTGTGCAACCAGACATTTGATCGCCTCCCAGCGGTTTTGTCACCTACCGATGTCGTAGGAAGGAAAGCGCAGTGTTTTTTCTAGTTGGTTTAGGCATCGCTGTTTCCTAGAGCAGCGCAATCAGCCTAGCCAAAGCTTTTATCAAGTCGCTGTCATCACCATAGACAGTCGCCAACCCTGCTGGATCAGAGGATTTGCAACTTTGCGACTAACTTTATATTAGGATGGCGGTGGTTAGTGATTGCAGTTTACTCCTATGTTTTACTCTCAACTTGGCTTCCGGATGGGAATATCTTCTAACAAATTTGAGGTGTTCAATCCCAACTTGTTTTCACAGCCTATGACAAGTTTTTTTTACTAATATGAATTTTGGCGTATAAATAGAACATTGGAAAAGTCTAAAAGTAATCAATACAAATTGGCTACTCAAGATTTATAGCTTGCTTTACGATATACTACTAATTTATACCTTCCATAGATCGTAGATGAGATTGGTTTTCCATTCTGCACTTTTGCTCCACTAATGTTTATTTTTTCTTACCAAAATATAAGATTAAGTTTTAGTGAGAAACTCAAACCAAGGAGGTGGACGAGGATTGGAAGCACACCGAAATAATATTCAGCTGAGTTCCCTCATAACTACTGTCTTCGAAAAGATTACGCGTAAGTACTCAAATTATTGTTATAGTTGTAGTTCAACATGAAAACCTACATCCATTCCGTCCGCTACTTCCGGATATCACTCCAATTCATGCAATAATCGTTCTTGAATTCGAAGCAAATGCATTTTTGAGATGGAAACTGCAGATTCTCAATTTTCGTTTGAGAAAATAAAGTTACTCATCATAAAAAAAACATTATAATGTTGCTTAACTTTTAATTCCTCAGTATTCAAAAAAGGGAAAAAAAGGATGGTAAAAAAAACCGTATTGGGGACCTCTCACGCCTCTTACATGACCAGAATTGAAACGAATACGAAAGTATCAGATTTCCCTTACATTCAGAGAGCAACAATTTTCGACTGATCCAGCTCTTCTCTCACACGCACTTTTCAGAATTCGCAGCTCTGAAGCTCGTGTAGGGCAGTGGTCAAATGAGCCCTACAATATACCTGTGGTCGTCAGTTTAATACCGCACACAGGAAAAACAAAATCCTTCATCTCTCTGAGGTCAGTAAATTGGTCCTATAATTATTTGAGTGGATAAATACACTGACGGTACCACCAAATCATTGTATCTGCTAAATGTGCATCCAATCAGCTCTGCGCTACGAATGGAGTTGAATGCTCCGTACATTCTCGACAAACAGATCGGCACCGAACGTTTTATCTTTCAAACCTTCGAAATCATGGTAAACTTGTGCTGAGCCCCAAAGTGGTTCTATGAGGAGGTGGACGACATGATGACTCGACTCCGCCCTTAGTGTCCTCACCACCGGCCGTCGGCGCTCTTCTCACAATCTAACCGCATTCGCCCGGCTAGCCGGTGTCGTGTCCGTCCGTCTTTCGTGATGGTCCTCTAGACCTTCACCGTCAGCAATGCATCTAGTACTGATGCTATTGTTGTTATTGTTGCCGTTCATCACAAGTACGATACACGGACTTATTTGCCTAACATGTGTTCAGTCACCAAGTACTAGTCAATTGGACAATTTTCGAGTCTCCACACGACTGTCAGCTCCGACATGTCGTATGGAGCCTATACAATGTGATCGTGATCAAGATGTTTGTGTACGAATCACTATGCATATTGGTGAGCAGTACTAAATCTCCGCTATCTTCTAGTTTTCAATACTTAACGAACTTCCGTTAAGCCCAAATAGACTATTGCTAGTCATTAACATCCAACTTTCCAACTTTATACCATGGAATTATATTTCTGAGCATTTTTCAGTAGCGTTCTCTATTTTCTTATAACGTTATAAGCACTCTCGAAAATTTATACGAAAGAAAAAGAAAACAACGCAATCCGTCGTTGACTTTTTCGCCCTATTCAAATTACTCACTCGAAAACTCGAACTCGTAATCTTATTTCTGCGCTTACGTTACGACTCTCCGTTCTACAACCACATTAAGGGTACTTATTCTATGCATCCATAGCAGTCCATACAAAAACCCAATTGAGATAGGAAACCACAGCAGATACATTTCTTGTGGTAATAAATAAAACCATAACAACTAGCTTGTTTTTTTAAGAGTAAAATTTTAACTGCTGTTGTAAATCATGATTTTTATTATGTTCGGAAACGAAAATCAATATACTCATTGTTACGAGTAGAGTTTCAATCTCAATAGGCATCGAAGATGACGATCCTTTTCATTCTTTGCTGACGGCGAATAAACTACGCTTAACAGGTTCACGACCATCAGAAGCGTCTTTGAAATTCATAAGTTTCCACCAGTTCTGAAATTCATCTTCATCGAATATTTCGGCATCAGAATTTTAAAAGAAACCAACAACGACAACTACCGTTAAGAGAACTGCGACAATATGCACTGACCTTAGGACACATGCGATGAAAAGTAATCTATCCATTGAACTTCAAAGAACTTTTCTTAGCGCGTAGTAAACTTTGTCAATTTAATCAAATACCACTAGAATCAGCAAATACTGCCAACAAAATGGAAATTTCCTCTTTCTACCCAAATGAACATTGATTTTCAGAACACCACAGAAATCCTCTTTTAGTTTCACTAACAGTCGTCAAGATTTTTATGTTGAGAAGCCAACTGACTAAATAAGCCAAATTTTCTCTAGGTGGGCAGAGCGATTTCAAAGAATTTAACGTTAATGCAGTTGTCGCAAATGCAGAAAGTTTTACGATTCTCGATCTTAAAAATCAAAACAAAAAATATCTTAGAAAGAATATATCCACTAAGCAAGAGGACTAAATCTCCTAGGAACACGTGTGGAGTTTTGAGATGCTTCGAATACTGTAATCCAGCTACCGAAAAGTCGATGGTTATTGAAAAACCATTACTGTCGACGAATATGTTAAATTTTTCTTCTTTCTTTGTTTCTTCTAGTCGAAAGCGAATAGGATACTATAAAGTACAGAGAATCTCAAGGGTACGAAAGTTGCTGGTAGCAAAACGATGGCGGTTCTCCAGTTTTACAAGGTGACCTACCAGTTAATTAGACTCTTGCCCAAATATCCGGCAATGCGTTTTATCTGAAGCTTGACGGCACTGCACACAAAAACGACACCTAATCAATCGCTTGCAACACTGGTGTAAAAAGTCGACTCGAGAATTCAGCTCTTCAAATCCAACCGCATGTAGTTGAAAGGCATCAGCAACACATGTTGCGTTCTAGAAAAGTGACCAGACATATAAAAGACCCGCTAAACGGTTGTCCTCAACGCGATGATGCGTTTGCTTCAGCAATCTTGAATTAGTTGAGAGCATTAAAAGGTTTAGATGTTAAAGAATTGTTAACCTCTAAACAACTATCCTCAAACCATCTTCTGTAAGAATTCCATAAGGAAAATTTTTGACCATTTCGTTATTACTTGTCGAATCCCAAGATACATATATACAGTCTTCCTCAGTGCATAGTAACATCAAATCCCTTCCTAAAAGAAACAGAAGGATATTTCTGGAGCACACATAGCACTAACTCATGTGACAAATGTTCCCAGTATGATGCATTATTCTTGTAGAAATATCAATTCCCTACATTCCACATACTTCCTCTACGTCCCATTTCTTCTACAAAACATATTGTTGGAACAAATATATATTTACCATTACCAATAAAGTGCCTAAAGATTATGTCAGTTACTAAAGCTGTAAAAAAAAATTATACATTTCGTGAGAAGTTCTACACTACACGACTCATTCTTAGAGGTCTTCATTAATCATTCCCATACTCTTTCGCATGTGAATAACAGACCTATAGAAATCTGTTAAAATTTTCCTCAGCACAATTCAATAAAACGATTCGTTTTCCGTTAAGGATCATAGCCGTGCCGTTCCAGTGGCGTAATTTCCGCTGAAACCGCTAAGACTTATTTAAAATGCGGACCTCTAGTAACAAAGGAAAAAAAGGAGTTTGTCAATAATGTATCATTTCGTGAAAGCCAGGTTTTCAGCAGTGAATGCAAAGTTGAAAGGTATACGAGAAAGATGGTGACAAAACAAAGATTTAAATAACCGAAGAAGATGCAAATCACGAGAAATTTCCCTAAATGTAGCAAAGGAAGGAAAAACTATTCGTCCACAACACTATATTTGCCTATTGCGAGGTTAACAATCTCAGTACACTAGAACGCTCATATAGCACTATACTAAGCTTTTCCTTCCAAAAATGCTTCATCTGAGAGAATAATGTTATTTCTATACGAAACACTATGACTATGGATTCATACGACGGGATTGACCATTTTATTCGATTTTCTTTCCACAGATTCTAACCTACGAATCGTTGAAAACTGGGAAAACCTCCTTAAACACATCGACAGAGTAGGAACTACGAGTATGTCTTACACAAAGCTTACGCTCACTCTAAGTATGGCTAACATAGATCGGCACATACTCGCGCTTTCTTAGATAAACAAGTTTTCGAGCCCCGATCGACAAGGCCGAAATGAGATATCCGTATATGACATGAACTCGCCAGAGTAACGGAGTAACTACGATGTAGTCACACTCATGAAAACTACCCAAACTGCCATGCTGCAAAAAAAGGTTGTGCCAGTCGCGACTAGATCAGATAGATCAGTGCAACCAGGTTAATTTAATAGTGGGAAAATAAACTATCCCGGCAAATAGAGGTACTTTCATAAATGATCGTCTTCAAATGGCATTAAGTTCAATATAATATCTCGCACATTACAGAACATTCTCTTAATGTCCCGAATAATTTTATTGCATAACTCGTGCAAGCTACTTCAGCTGGAAGAAAAGTTTTTCTCATACGCCGAAGTACTATGATGATTTCATAAAAACTCAAGGGAAACGTTTCTTATCCATCGTTGGCTGTGGATTAGAACTACCGCTTTCACTCTATATAAGTCATAATACATAAATATATCCTCTTGAATTGTCATGAATGAGCGTTCCATATTCGTTCTGTTCTCCTAACAATTCACTCAAGAAGTAAGTACAGAATATGAAAACATTTACTTTGATTTTCATAGCTAAATGCAAACGAGATTATAAATAAACTCTCGAAAGTCAACTCAGAAAAAAAAAACATAATGACCAAGATGTATTTATTGAAAGCCAAAACCCAGTACACCCAATACACTTAACATAACCTGGTTGGTTCTAGAAAAAAAAACCCATAGAGTATATTTACGAGGTTTCAAATCAATGCTAAATCACGTTCCATTTTCTAATAAATATAAGTGAATCATTTATAGATGATATAAAGTTACTGTAACTGTTGTCATAAAACTAGCTCGTAGCAAGTAAAAAAACTCAGATTTATAGCTTTACATGTAGAATTATTACAGGTGGTGGCGAGTACTGGATGGGTGCTGGTTGCGATCGGCGAATGAACTTTCAGCATCTTTCTTGTCAGAATGTCCGTACCATGTCACGAAGCATACAACTAGGTCTAAGTGTTTTCCTTATTATATGACACCTTTAACAAGGCACAGCTCGAACATTACCATTTTAAAGGGCTATTGCATTCAATATGTTCTCAATTTAGGCTATGTCCAAGAACGACACGTTATGCAACGTGTATGCGTTTGCACACGTGATCTATGCAATGAAGCCAAAGGCTACAATTTCATCGCGACCTCTCTAAAAGTAATCGCGCTCTATTTACTACTACGGTAACAGCAACCAATGTAAGTTCACTACTTCTTATCACCTCAAAATGTAGCATGGGTTTAAGAAAATTTCTTGAAAACACGCACTGAAACCGAAACATCATCTACACTCATCGTGGTCGGACTCTCAGATTGAGAGGTTAGAATAAGTTGCGTTCAGAAGCGAAAATGGTTAGGGCTACATTGAAAGCGTTACAACTACCTAAAAACAGCTTGTCTTTTTATTTTGATGACATGAGCAAGGTGAGCAAGTACCTTGGTCACTGGTTGAATCGGTTGTGTGAGTATGTCTGCTGACGCATCTCTTGTTCTTCTTCTGCAAATATACGCGCTGTGTGTCCGAGTGTCACTCGCTTAATGTCTTCTCGCTCAAGATCTTCTCTTTCTCTTTCTTTTTTCCATGCCTCATGTAGGGCTGACTCCTCGATTGATACTGTTTTCAGCACCAGCTGAAACCACCATTAACACAACGATAACCACTTACTACAAACATTCAGAAATAAAATAACTGCAATAAGATCACACCTTATTTCCTTTACCTCGCGCCATAAGTGATACTTTCATAGAAGATTTCGAATTATCTGGTGAGGAAGTCACTTTAGATCCTTCAGAAGAGTCTTCTAAAAATACAGATCCTTATTTCACTGGTATAGCGAGGTGATTCAAAATTTCAAAACAGTGAAACAAACAAACGAAAAGGAAAATTTAGCTATTACTACATAATTTATAAAGTACTACCTTACGCTTAGTACTACCTGCTAAAAAGTACGCTCTATTCATGCGTTCTGATATTAAGCTAACTACGTTAGCTTAGAGTGCTAAACTGGAAGCGGAACACTGTACTTCCACAAAGTGCCTATCAATCGGTAGCTTTGGTTCATACACAACAGATGTCCGGAATAAGGCACACTCCGTACCAGTTAACCAAAGGTTGAGTTAAATCAAATCAGTGGAAACTAAATTTTGGAATGCGTTCCTCATCGTTGGTTCGATCCAGCGATATTAGCCAACCAAGCCTCTCAACTATCACAGATTGGAAAATTCCTTGCCCATTTTGAAGAAAAAGAAAAACGCATATCAGTAAGCCTCCGTAGGTCACTGTGTTGGCCAACTATCCATTCAGTCATCTCTACGATTGCACACGGAGCCGAATTCACGGCATATCCCGAAAAGAACGCTTTATTCTCCACTTAATATGATGGTACAAAAAAAGCGAATGGGAAATTTTGCAGCACTTCTTGAAGAATGAAGTGAGTGCACTTTCATCTATTAACAATTTCGACGCATCTATTGATAGACGGACATCCAATCTAACACATCGACGACTTCCCACACCTTCTGTATGTATTTCCATTATGGGTTCTGCGAAATTTCGTTACGGAAATCGACGAGCGATTCATAATTCAAACACGAATTTCGTGTGCACGTTGCCCGATAAACTCAATAAACTACTTCCACAACGACAACTAGCGCCCCCGTTCTCGGCCTTCAAAAAACCCTTCAGGTACAACCACTGAGCATGCAGAGCGAGGCGGGTCTATTTAATTAAAAGCCTTTAAACTACGAACCCGTCTGCTCCCTCCTACTACTCGAAAAAGGAGATGCTTGCTGACCGAGAAAAACTTTAAAACCTTTATAATGTTAAAAAAATCTAACAAAGTGCTTAGAAGTCTTCATTGAAAATCTCATTATTCTAAATCAGCTCTTAACAATTAAAAGATTTCTATCAAATATTTCATATAAAGAAATAGAAGAAAGATAACTGTATAGGAATCAACGGTTCCTAGAGCAAATCATTCCAAAGTTGAACCGATTTTATGGTCAAATTTTTTGCATTTCTGGAAAGATTAGGAGAGATATACTACGAGAGAATTAAATGAGAGAAAACACTTTCTTTGAACTCTTTTGAAAACCCCCACATATAACAGTTTAAGCTTAATGGATTGCACACCATCATTCTTTTTCTCGCCTGTTCAACGTACCCTCTATGCGGTTCGTGGTTGTAAATTCCACATCTCATCAAAATCAGTACTTCACCATTAGCCAGTCGTTGAGAAAATTATGATTATCTCATCACATGCTCAATAGAATGAATGTCGCAGATCACAGGTGCATTACACCAGGGCAATTCAACGGGTGATGATGAACACACGTCAACCAACATGTCACCGAATAGCAAATGTTTGATGCGCCTACGATAAGAGAAGACCACATAAACAGCATGTAACGCTGAATCCCCTTAGCACCGTATAAAACAACATCGCGAACGATCAGAACTTTGGATTATCGCCTTCTAAAGTGCGATGGAAAAACTCATTAAAAACTACGTAGCATTGCTGAATAATGCTCTAACAGGACAGCCACTCAAGAAAACCCTCAGAAAACACTAGTATTCATCCCATGACCGACTTTCTGTTAACCTCGGCATTAATTGATAATTCAATGTTTTTCATCAATAAGCAGACACGAGGTCTGCTTATTGATGAAAAACATTGAACTAGTATTCATCGTTCACCTACAGTTGCGATATTAATAATGTATGCATGAATAGCTGTTTTAAAATGAACAGATTATTATAGTAACCCACAACATCTGTATCCTGACTTTATTCTCATTATCAAGCAGTCTCGTATTTTTTTAAAAATAGTTTTCAATGTATTTCATTCTAGAGACCACAGTGGCCCAAATTCCTTCCAAACGGCGTCCTCATGCGTGTTGCTGAATTTATGACGAAGACGAAAATGTTTCTCGAACAAATTCAATCAGTTACCTTATCAGTAGGCAGCCGCTCATCATCATGGCGAGCTGTGGGGTCTTCGGCGACATTACACGCGGCGGCGGCCTTTTCTTCCCGATATCCCCTAATGTAATCTGCACGCGCGTCAAGTTTCGGAATTCCTCACAAAAAGTTCTCGTCTTGAAGCCCGACGACACTCACCAAAACAAATTTGTCGTTGGGATCGATTTCGAACTGCAGCGGGAACCGTCATATCCACTGAGGGAATCATCACCTGTTGAGGTGCGATCTGAAAATGCATCAAACGATATCAAAATCGATGTTAAATGACCTCTCGTAGCTCGCTAGTTTCCTATACTTTGGTTTATCCTTGTAGTTTCGAAATAATTTGATCGATCTTGGCGACAGAACGACAGAAACTAGAAACGTCACAAATTTATACTAATCACTGGAAGTAATAGTAGTTTCCTGAATATATTTTCCGTTTTAGATGAATATATTGAATGAAGAAATACATAGCAAACATTTTCTTCTTATCAAATCCATTTATCCAAAGATTGTGGTACCAACAGTGCCGTCATTAATCCACTGATATATTGCCAACATAGGAAGTTTTTCGACGACTGCCGATAATCTTTGTACTAACTGAAGCATATGAGGAGTTGAGAAGTAGCAAAATTTATGAAAAAGACTTTTTACATACAATGCATACAACACTATCGCTCCGCGCTCAAAAAACTTCCAAAGAAAAAATGAAATTTGACTTTCTCAAATCTTAAGCGCAATGCGGCGCAGTGGGGAACATCAACGACGGCATCCACAAACATCGTGTACTCTTGGACGGAACTTCGTTTCGTTACTTTACACGAGACCTAATGAAGGAAACAATGACTTTTGAGCTAAAGAAAACCAGAATTCCATCGCAGTAAAGCTAACAATTTGCATCGTACGACCCATGATTTGAAGAAGTTCACTATCAACTCGGATACCTGTACTTAAAGAACAAATAATTTCGAGTAAGTATACACTGAAACGAATATGAACTGTGGAAAATGTGCTGTTTAATGACAGCATCGAGTTGGTACTTGTATTCAGTCACCTCTGCAGTGTGCCACAGCTGCCTATTGGAATTTCCACACTCGATGGAAACGAGGAGCACAACGCTTCCACTTGAATTCCTTTATTTCAACCGTTTTTTTTGCCAGGCAAAGGGCTGTTCATGGATACCTCGTCGAGATTTGCCGCAGGGAGATGGTTCTAATTAACACCCAGCTGCATACAAACCACTTATTAGTAACCACACTAGCACAATATTTCTAAGCACGAAGAGGTATGTACGAAACGCATGAGACGATGCTATGAAACAACCAGGGAGTCCATGAAGCCCATTTGTTACAGTAAATACACCGTGGTCATCTTTGGTTTGCATACTCTCTGTCCACCATTTGCGGATTTGCTACGTAACTCCAAGACCAATCGGCTCGAAATCCTTTACATAGAGAAGATCCATAGTTCAGAATAAACATTTCAAATATTCACTAACTCTTCCAGCTTTCGTTGACTATAAATGCCCTAGTGCTTCAGAAATTAGCCATCCAGTCCAGTGTATCTTACCGGTAACGAAGCGAATGAACTACTCGGAACGGAAATTGTGTAATTAGGGATATATACCGCAATCCATCACCGAGATGTTCATCAAAACCTACACTACTCCGCGTGTATCGAGAGCTATTACAATGGACGCACAAATTACAAAGCGAATAATGAGAGGAAACTGTGGTTCAGACAAGTATTTGAAAGCCAATTTAATATTTATAAAGGTAAAAAAAATTGTAAGGAGTAAGAGCACACTTCTAACATAGAACCTGCGTTTATAACTTTTGAATGGGCTAGAACTTGAACTTCGCTCCTATCTAATAAAAGAGTCTCAGTCACAATCCTGCGTATTTTGACAATTTGTAACGGGAACTAACACTGGGTAAGACGACATTACTGGAAATCATTCCTATTGTTATAGATCACTAATGACATACAACTCTCAAATAAAATTTCTATATTTGAAGTATTTCGGAGAAAGAGGGAGGTATGTGAATAGGTTAAGCAAAACAAGAGAGCGACCGTAAGAAAAGATGACTCATAAAATTGGAAATTCTCACTAAAGATACCGTTTCGGTCCTTGTAGTCCTTATCGTAAAAGCAGAGAAACTGCTCATTGGTGGCAGCACAGACAACTTCTAGCTAGAGATATCTCAGCAGATACCGTAGGAAAT